TAGGACTAAAGATACAAGAAATTATCTAAAGTAAGTCTGGTCATGATTGCTATTGTAACTGTCACATTGCCATAGTTAGATGTACTGACATGTATGTACATCAGTTACATTTACATGTCATATATTTTTTCATAGATATACACAGAATAGGGTTGGAAACAGGATCACATTAGCGCATTGTGAATTAAAACCATCCTACATGTCGTCTAGGAACTGGTTTATTAAGATTGACTGTAAATGGAGACGAATCTTGAAAATACTTAGAGAGGTTTAGGGTAAGACTAGGGCAAGAGGATGAGGGAGTAGAAGAGGTAGCAGTGGATATACTTGTTGATACTTCTCCTTTAGTCTTGACAGGCTGAGCAGGAGTGAGAGAAGGAGGGACAGAAGATGAAGTAGTAGTCGTTATCGAGGAGGAAGAAGAAGAGGAGGACGAAGGCGGGAGAACTACTTTCTCTTGTGTTTGTTGAAACCCGTTGCTTGTGACGGGTTGCTGAGAGAGACTAGCCTCCTCAGGAGTAGATCCGAGGCCGCTGTCTTGTGAGAGGTCCCCACCACTTGCCTTGGTAACAGAATTCAACTCTTGATGTAAAGAACTGACTACCGCGGAAACATCTTTCTCGTCAACATCAGCGGCATTGATGAGGGCATCAATATCAAGGTCCTCCGACATGTTAGTCCCATTCTCTGGGGTCGCCATAGTCTCAAAGAGAAGATTCAAAGGGATCCCTTCACTCTTCGTCTTCTTTGCGCTTTCTTAGTATCCCTCCATTTTCTCTTATAGAGGAGACTTCAATTTATACTCCCTGATTCCGGATACCTCCGTATACTCGGTTTTCTTACATAGTATAAAAGAAGATAGGTATATTCTTTTTTGCTAAATGGCAGAGGCACCAGGTGATTCTGGGGAGTCAGATTATGAGCCTGTGAGTTCCGTATTTGTCTGTACATCTTCGTGTTATCCTTATTTATTTTGCAGGCAGAGGAGCTGGAGGACGAGAGCCCAAATGACGTCATCGAGGAAGATCACGAATACCTTCGTCACCACATTGCCACTTTAAAAATGGATGACGCCGTCCTAGAACCAGGAATATTGAAGACATTCGAAGAGTCAGTGATGATTATTAAAATAATGAGTGGGTGGGGACGTACATGTACATTGTACGGGCATGTACATGTACTTAATTATGAAAATTTGTGTGCATTAATTAGAAATAGTGGTATGTAATTTTTAATTTGTTAATGAGACCACAAATTATTAACACTGTCACACTAATGACTTGTGGGCATAATTATGTATATGTAGTTTAGGTCTAAGAGTTCAATACATGTACATTTAGCCTCTTTTGAAATATCAAATTCTTAACAAATAATGCCATAAAGTTTCAAGTTTGCCACCTTATACATTAATGGCTACTCATAGTAACTAATCATTTTATGTACATGTACTTGTGCATATTGTATTTTTGTTAAGGTACGTTTGTACATGTACATGTATATGTACACGTACATGTAATTTATTATTTAAAAATATTTTGCAAATACTGTATTTTATGTACATGTACATAACGTACTTTTTGTTGAATTACATGTACTTGCACTTCATTGAAATAGAAACTTTAATTAAATTACATGTATTTGCAAATGCATGTACACGTACATGTAACATGCACATTTGTGTGTACATTGTACATGTACATTTAATGTCTTAATTGATGCATGTACATGTACATGTATGTCTTTATTATTACATATGTACATGTATTATTAACATTATGAGATCAGTGAATCACTATTATTATTATCATCTTGTTTCAGTTATTTAGAATTAGGTGGTGAGAGTATTAATGCAATCCGTTACCTTTCATCTGGTTACAAGGGCCTTCCCTTAATGATTAATGTACTAGTGGACTGGCTTCACTTTGCTGGTAAGATTATACTGTGCATACATTTAATAGAAACCAACCAGATTGAATACTGTGTGCATGTAGATGCCTCAACTCTATGCTGCTTGTTTTGTTGAAGAATTAAGAAATAATATTCCTTTTTGGTTGCAATTTATTTATTCTGCATGTACATGTACATGTATGATGTTACAGAGTTATTATTGGCAGTGAGTAGTTTGTTTTATCTGAAAAAATTTCTGAAATTGTTGCCAAAGTTAATTTTTCATAAAAACCATGTGTACATATGCTTTACATGTACAATGTACAGTACATGTACATGAACTTAGCTTTTAATAATGCATTAGGCTGTAGAAGGAAAGACATTCAAACTCTGGTAGAAGAACACATCAAGACATTAATCATTAAAGATTTTGATCCAAAGAAAGCCGATCTCATATTCACTGAGGAAGGATCTGTGAGTTAGGGTCTTGTGTTGTCCTCATTATTCAAGTGTTTTCCAGACCCCTTCGTGGCTGGAGGAGATGATTTGTTTTCAGACTTGGAGGGAACTTTTCTATCAGTTAACAGATCAGTATCCTGACTGCTTGATGCTCAAGTTTACTATGAAAGTAGGTACTGTCTGTACATTATTGTAAAGCTTAAAATAATAAACTTTTATGAGAAAAGTGTATGTGTAGTACATGTGCTGTGTATAGTGTATGGTACTCTTCTGTTTTATTTATAAGCTTTTACTTTCACTAGTTAGCTCATAATCACATTACACTTTTGTTTACTTCTCACTATGTTAACATTGTACATGTACATGTACATTGTACATGTTCTGCACATACCATATAGCCACTTAATTTCGAGGGTACAATTTTGCTGTTTTTGTGGATTTTCAGTATCCACAAAAGTTAATTCCATAAAATTATTTGTATCAACTTATAAACACATGTACTTCAAAATAACCACAAAAATTAATTTGCAAAAAAAGACTTGTGGTCTGATTCACGAAAGTTTATTGCCTCGAAACTTGTGGCTACAGTTGTTTTAATAAGTTTTTCAAAGACTCTCTCTGTCTAACTTTTTGAATCAACTGTAGAAATTCATTAAAAATTCAATTTAGCCATTCCTGATAAAATACATGTACATATATACCCTACAGGGTCTTTTGGCCAATTTTTTAAAATTCAGTTTTGATTGAAATTGTCATGTGTTTATGTTTCAGATAAGTGTTATTTGTTTATGACATATACAATGTACAAATGTAGCTATACCGTATAGTGGGTTTTTTTTTCAAGGATAACAAATTTCGCGAATTTCGCGGATTTTTCATGATTCGCGAAATTAAATTCCTTGAAAATCAATTTAATACGGTACAAGATGACAGATTAGTGAAAATTTGCGAAAATTAATTTCGCAAACTTCCGGATATGGGTCATTCGTGAAATTTATTATCCTCGAAAAAACCTGCTTTAGATACGGTATACCCCTGACCACATGGTAGTTTTGACTTAAAACAGCAATTTAAAGAGATTTATAATGACCGCACCAAAGCATCTATTGTTTATTAAATAAAATGAAGGAGGCCCCTAGCTACATGTAGCTTTTACAGTACATGTATGTCCTTTCAAACCTAGAACATTCATACTAATAGTAGGTTGGGTTTTGATTGCGAGATTCTTTTACTGACAGCATCACGAGTGGTATCTTATGATATTTTCAGCCCAAATTACCTCGTCTAGTCAAGTCCAAATGCTCCCAAACATCTTGAAGGAAGTTAATCAAGCTATGGCGGCAGTAGCTTTAGATAGCAAAGGAGAAAAACAAAACAATTAATTAAGTTGTGAGTGTGGCTTGAATGTAGCTAAGCTAGCATCTTGCAAATGTTGGAAACGCAAACTAGTTATTCTTCCGAATTCGCAATCTATTAGATGCGCAATCAAAACCCGGCCTACGGTATTAATTTTGATTATCACACTGTAAAATTTTTACTACCATATAGCAGGTTTTTTCGAGGATAATAAATTTTGCGAATGACCAGTATCCGGAGGTTTGCGGAATTAATTTTTGTGAATTTCCACTAATCTGCCATCTTGTACTGTATTAAATTGATTTTCAAGGAATTTAGTTTTGCAAATCTTGAAAAATCCAAGAAATTCGCGAAATTAGTTATCCTCGAAAATAACCTGCCATACGGTATGTACTGTTATGTGGGAAGTTTGAATCACTTATTTTACTAGTCAAATTTTTTAAAACTACATTGTAGCTCTCAATTTTTATTGCATGTCGTAGATGCATGTATATTGTAATGTACTTCATGTACATGTGCATATATATAAAAGTTTGAGTCAAATCCTACATGTATTGGGATTAGGTATAAATTCATTGATATATTTTATTATTATTGATAATCTAACTAGTGTAATAGTATAAAAGTATTCCTAAGTTTCACTACCATACATGTACATGTACATGTATTTCTGGGTTTCTTATTAAAAGTTATCTATCTTCTAATACATCTGGAGTAGTACTTTAGGATGTGTTTAGATGTCCTTATGACTTATGCTACATGTACATGTATGTAGAAATTTTAAAGTGATGCCGCCTAAAAATTCTTGAGTCATGGCCATTTTTAAAAATTGGCCAATATCTGAAAAATACCCTGTACTATAGACCATGCTTTTTTCTGAAAAATGGCTCCGAAATTACCCCAAATTTTTATTACATTTTCTGATACACATAGATATCCTTATTGCTGTGTAGAAATTTGATACTTTGAGGTGATTTTGACTAAAAATTTTTGACTTATGGCCATTTTTTAAATTAGCCAATTTCTGAAAATCACCCAGTACTATAATAGCCCATATTTTTTCCGAAAAATGGTTCCAAAATCAGCCCAAAATTTCTGATGCATATTTATGTCCTTATGCTATGTCGAAATTTTGAAGTGAATCCAATTAAAAATTTTTGAGTTACCGTCATTTTAACAAGTGTATATACCATATAGCAGGAAATTTGGGGGGGAATTAAATTTTGGCAAATTGGCATTTTGATAGCAATTCACCAAATTTTACTCCCTCCAAAATTTCCCGCTATACGGTAAATTTTTAAGTTTGTTTTCACCACCTTGCATGCTAAATTTTATGAGTGAATGAGTATTATTGTGAATGAGTATATTGTGATTGTAATTTTTTACAAGAACAGTAGATGAGGAGTCTCAAATTTTGTTGAAATTGTGTTAATGTGTTTCCATTTTTGTTCTCCCTTAAATGACTGTATGTACATGTACATGTACATATTTTTACCTACATTTATTTTTCTTGTCCTAAAATAGTACATGTATATGTATGTGTATGCAGCTTTATTGCAGTTATACTCTACATCTATTTGTGTATTTCAATTACTGTTACAGTTACTATACATTTGTACATGTGAGATATTTACACCTACATGTACTGTATATGCATGTACATGTACATGGATGTATGTATCTCCTTTATTATAGCTAATAGCTGATGCTGGCTATCAAGGGGAGATTACGAGTGCCTCGTCAGCAGCTCATCAACCCGAGGTGTTCTGTGGACTCATAAAGACATTACTAACTGACATCATCACTGCTTCATCTCCTAATGAAATGGAAGAGAGCCTCAAAGAATTCTGTGTGAGTTACATGTATGACATGTACTGTATGATATAAGTATAAGCGATACAAGTACATGTACATTGTACATGTATGTATGTACATTGGGACCTCCTTATTTCATTTCTAACTATAATGAGGCCTAACTATAACATTTCTAACTATAATGTATAATGAGGGCCTGTCTTAAATCATAATTTATACTAACCTATAAGTTGTACATGTACATGCACCTTTAAAGGGTACATTTGTAAGTCTGGTGTATTTTTGGGGTACCGTAGATCAGGAAATTTGTGCGGTAGAAAATTTTTGAGTTTTAAAATTGTGCTGTGATTTAATTTTTAGTAAATAAGACTTTTTCATGTATTATTGAATGTAGCATGTAATTATACGGGTAATCTAATTGTTGCAAAATTCTAATTCAGTAAAATTAAAATCACGGTAAAAATTTTAAAATAAACAGTATTTATTTTATTGGCTTAATATGATTGCCTGACCATAATAATGATGTATTCCAACTCCCATTGTCTGAAAAATTTTTTCACTGAGATATAAGCCTTCAAAATGTTCATTTTTGTTACTTCC